TTTATTTGAAGTTTATCTGTGATACATAAACATGTTCGTTTCGATTTTCTAATTGATTATCTCTCTGATTATCAACCCTGCGTCGCAAGATTCTCCTTCATGAAGGTTACTATAGTTTTAAAATTCGATTTTTTCAAACTATATTCAAACATAGAAATATTAAGAATCTCTTAAAACCGAATTTTACGATAATCATTGTTTTTTAATTTGAAGTTTAGAATTCTGAGAAAGAGACCAGGGGTATATACATATACTATGTATAGAACTATTTGAAATAGATTCCGATCGGAATTGTTTAGTTATTTCATAGATTTCTATTGTGTTTTCTAGAGAAAACGAAAAAATTTCGATCGGAATCCAAATCATTTCGTAATAGAATCGTGCCTAGAATCGAATTCAGCGACCTCGAAACTTTTAAAAAGCAAGATCTTCCATAAGTTACTTTATTAGAAAACTTCGATCCTCTTAAAGGATTAAAAATATTTCGTGATCCATCATAGTTCCATCAATTCTTTCTTATCCGAAATATTCAAGATAATTCATGTGTGTTTGTATTGTAATCAATCAATTAATTAATTAATACTGAATTTAATGAATGGATCTCTATTTTCTCAGCGTGCAGAATCAAGGAATCAAGAAACGAAACCTTCGAGAAGATCAATGAAAGGCACGGATTCGATTGGAAGTAAAATAACCGGAACGGTTGAAACAGTTGACGGCGTCGTTCTTCAAAACGGTTCGCCGAACGAATCCACGAGGAAATCCGACGCCTTCATGGTCGACTTCGACGATCGATCATCGAAAGAAGACGACACGATATTGAAAAAATCACCGATAAAAAAATCTTCTAACGACGTAAGAGTGATTTTTTTTTGCTAAAACCCGATACACACACGAATTTGTTCTTTATTTGATTGTTTTTGTTGCGTGAACCAAGCAGTGCTGTGTGAAATAATTCAACTTTGAATTTTCGTATCATTGAAACTAATCGCTAGCAATATGAATGTGAAATATGGCTTACTTCATGTTGTACTCTTGTATAAATCAAATTAAAATCCGCAAAAGTCTAAAAACGTTCTCTACATTAACACGCGTACGTTAATATTAATCTTTATATATTTTAAACAAATTAGCAATGAGAACACCAGTCTGGCGCAAAACGAATATTAATCATATTTCCATAGTCTTCTCACGGTCGTGCAATTTATTTCCCAAACAATTGCAATCAGAGTCTATTGGCGAATATGATCTGCCAAAAAATCAAGAGAAAACTCGTATTAACTGCTGAATTCGGGAATTTATGAGGACAATTAATAAATTTAAATTATACAAGGTATAATTATGTTAACCTTAGTAACCTAAATCTCACCATTGAAAAACAAATTATTCAGTCCAAAAGGTTTATATGATGTGTATGTTTCAGAGAAGCGTGTTCAAATTTATATTACGTCAAAATATATACAAATGTATTTTTATGCAATTTATATCTGTTCAATTTATACGTACCACTATTTATTCGCAGAAGCAACAGACAGCTTCCAGTGCTTCAGTCCGGCCGTCGTCAAATTCCAGTGTTAACTTAATTCAAGATTCCAATGCGAAAGGTAGAATGGCGGAAAGTGAAAGAGGAAAAGGAATAAGAAAAGGAGGAGGTAAAAGTAGATACAAAAGTATAGAAAAACCTTCTTCCAGTAGTGGCAAGCTTACAAACTCGTCAAGTTTCAACGAAGATGCAACTAATGACACGTAAGTTTTTCCAGTAATCTCTGTGTGTTTTATTTGATAAAATAATAAGTTATATCAAACAAAAGTATGTATAAATTATTATTAAATGTTATAATCTTTATAATTTCTGTTTATACCGGAGAAGAAATGTTACTTTGACAAACAGTAATAGTCATAAAACGTAAATATGACGTTATTTTTATAGAATTAAATATGATTTTAATTTAAAAATGTTGGAAAAAATTAAGAACTTTTAAAGTGATATACTTTCGTATCACATTGTAAAGCTGAAGTGTAAATAAATACTACTACTTTCGTATCACTTTTTAATATTAAATAATACAAACGTAAAAATTAATTATTAATTAAAAAATTCGCATTACTGATTAATGACAGGAAGGGCTTGGTAAAGTGTAGAACATGCGGGCGTAGCTTTGCGCAGAATCGAATTGATCTCCATCAAGACATTTGCATGAAAACGATGACCAAGAAAAGGAAGCAGTTTGATCCGGTGATGAACCGAGTCAAAGGAACCGAACTCGAGTCTTTTGTTAAGAAAGGCTTCGCTAAACGAGAGGTTGGTATCAAAAAATAGAATTTCTTCGAAAAGAACCAATGATTGAAAGTTATAATTTTTCAATAATATCAGTAATATCAATTTTCAATGCATAAAACGAATTAGTCCAATGAGTTATCCAATTTACTTGGTGAAGACCAAAATTTAATTCCATCCGAGCTCGTTTTTTTTAAGATGATAATAGCTTACATGCTTTTTTATACTGTTTTCAGATGAAAACGAAAAAGCCGGGAACCAAGCCGGACTGGCGGCGCAAGCACGAGGAATTTATCAACGCGATCCGTTATGCAAGGGAGACGCAGGCACGATTGGCAGCAGGTGGAAATTTGAGCGATCTGCCGCCACCGCCGCCCAGCGATACCAGCGATTACATTCAGTGCGAGCACTGCGGCAGAAAATTCAATCGGTCCGCCGCGGAGCGGCACATTCCGATTTGCAAGCGTATGCACGACAAGAAGCAAACGCAAGCACCGAGGGCAAGACGCTAAGAAGACGCGGCAAACATTCAGGGCTCTTCCCAGCCTCTCCGCGAAGAAAGATATACTTCTAAATAGCGTTTACTTTTTTTTTAAACAACTCTTTTTCCCTCGTTTCTTTTCCGCCGATTTACAAGCGTAACACTCCCTTCCGTATCGTACGCAAAACGCGATCTTACTTCATTTCGAAATTTTCGCCTACTTCACGTCCAACGTTGAAACGTAAATCAAAAGTTTGATAAAGAGTTTGAAGAACCTGTTTCTATATTGTCTCAAATTTTATTAAGAACAGCACAGAAATAGATTCAGCGATTAGAACATGATTACATGATTTATAACGTTATGACGTTTATTTAAAACGAGTGACGTAGACGAAAATGATATTAATAATAAAAAAGATTATCTCTATGTGAACTAACGGCATGTCGTAATTGGTCGACAAATTCGAAATGATCGAATATGACCAGCAATAATCGTTGATGTTTAAGGTCAAATAAACCGCTGACGAATATCGCTTTTCATTCGTGATGCTGTTATCGCCTAAGCGGGAGCTTTGAATAACTATCGATAAAATTTTTTATCAAATAAATTTTTATACTCATTTCATAATTAAATGCATTTTTGTAACCGCAAGGATTATACACTCGAAATAAAGATGTAAAAAGAAGATGCGCCGATATAATGTACATGAAGAAAATATATTATATATTGCACGAATATGAAGGTGAGCAGAAATCATTTTTTTCATGACACATGAAACGAACTGTATATACATTCTATTTTAAATTTTAATCGATTACTTAATTCTCAAAAAATGAAAATCGTCCAATGATTTTATCTATATAATGATATCATGTTCTACAGTGCTGTAATTAGAGAAATTGTTATGATTTAATATTTTATTATATTAATTCGAATTATTATTTTTTTTTTTTGCAACTCATTTACTATAAAAATTTCGACTATTACATAACAACATATATAAAGTTGCTTTTTTTTAAGTTAAATTAAAATTAGATATTTTTGAAATTTTTTTTATACACTATGCAGTTTATAGTCGGTAGAGATAGTTTGTGAATGTATCACATTTTTTAACATAATTTTCAAAACTTGTAATACAAACAATTTTTCTTAAATTATATTTCTATTTCTCGGTTAGTAGAAATCTAAATATATACTACATTTTCTAATATAATTTTCAAATTTCGTAACAAATATATCTCTAATATAATTTTCAAAATTTGTAATTTTTTAAATTTTACATACTATTTATCAAATTTCTCAAACAGAATAATCTCTCTATCTCTTTTCATTATTAAAACATTACAAAAATATAATATAAATACAATTTACAACCTATAATATTATAATAAATAATCGTAAACAGTAAGAGGATATACTTATACGCGTTTGCATCTACAACTCGCGAATGCGATTCAGCGGGAGGAGTACGATAAACGAAGAAGACTAATCGAAAACATCAGTCAATACTAAAGTGTTGTGATATTCGCAAGACACTCTGATCTAGTTTCTACTGAAACTCTCAATTCAATTTCACTTCAGTACAGATTAAATTTAGTGCTGATTTGGAAATAAACACCTATAGGTCGAAATGAAAATAAAATGAAAGCAATTAGACATATTTTCATTAACTTAAAGGATCTCGAATTAATATGAAAAATTGAAATATCTTGATGAAATTATAGTGAGCAAAAGATGTCATATAGACATAAGGCTCAATAATGGATAGTTTTTAAGCTATGGTACAATAATATATCAAAATATAAAACTTGAGCTCAGACAAAGCACTTTCGATGACATTTTTTGACCAGATAATTTACATATCCTAATGAAGACTTTTCTCAGAATTGTTATTTATAAATTTTAAAATTTCTGATTATATTTTTATAACTTTTTAAAGAATTTTCAGATTTTGTCGCGTCAGAGTTTTTCTTAAATGAAAATTTCCGATCGAACATCGTAAGGAAAAAGAAAAAACGCGACGAGCAATTTAAATCTACGCGCGTCATGCTCGATATGCGATACATCGAAGGTGCGTGAGCATGGTGGTGAGCCAATCGGAATGATCCACGAAAAGTCGCTTGTCAGCTACCGGGATGCCGCCAGCGCATTTTGGTGAACGTCAGATAGAGCAGTCGAAGCATTGTGCGGAGGCGGTGTAGCGCGCTCGTTCGCCTCGCTGTAACTTTCAGCGGATGTGAATGACTTCTCATGCAATGTCTCGAGTCGCTTGTACAACCCATGGAATAATGTCGAGGCTCTTAGGTAAGTCGCGTACGTGCGTGTCTCCGAATTATCAGCGCAGGACGCCGGTTATCAGTGATGTTGATGGCTCCTTACCACGGAATTCCGGTGATATCGCTGAAGTCCTGTGTAATCGGCATCGCAACAAGTGTCTCCTCGAGATTCGTTCCGCGAGAGAAACGTCATCATTCTCCTTTGCTCCCACGCAGCCTTTCCGTACAGCTTAAATAGCGTTAATTTGGACACGCGTCCCTTTCCGGACCGTACATCTTGTTTGCATACTCTTTCCCTTGCAGGTGTTCTTCTGCTAGTCGCTGGAGCGAATTGCATGTACGCGTCCAATTCAGCCGTCATTGAACTTAGGCCAAATAATTTTGATAATTTAGTGTTAAATAGCGATCACGTATGGGTGGTCGAATTCTACGCGCCATGGTGTGGACACTGTCAACAATTGACGCCAGAATATGACAAAGCAGCTACTGCATTAAAGGTGACTTATATTTAATTTTTCTACATACGTATACACACATAAAGACATATATTTGAACACATATACATATATGTACCTTTAAATAATATTAGGTAAAAATCAACCAAGAAATACAGCAAAAAAAGCGATATCCAGTCAAGACAGTTTTAATATTTTTACTATCTTAATATTTTTGAGTAAATTTTAGTTTTATTTGAACTAAAAATAATAAACACCAAGAACTCTTTTTGATTCATTGCATAAAGCTTTTTTGTTCATTTGTTATATATATATATCTTTAACTTGTCTTAATAGGGTGTTGTAAAAGTTGGAGCGGTAAATGCTGATGAACACAAATCCCTGGGAAGTAAATATGGTGTTCGTGGTTTTCCAACAATCAAGGTATTTGGACTTGACAAAAAGCCGGAAGATTACAATGGTCCGAGAAGTGCAGCTGGCATTGTCGACGCTGCGTTAAATGCTGCCAGTCAAAAAGTTCGACGAGCATTAAGTGGTAAAACTTCAGGAGGTGAATTCAAGGCAAGTTTTATTCGAATACGACTAGCTCTAAGTTTTATTTATGAAAAATATTGAAATAGAGAGCATGATTTTATATGTAAGGAAAAAAGATTTCCTAATATGCAAATTACTAAATAGTATTTATTTGACTATTTGCAGAGCAAAGATACCAAGGATGTGATAGAATTGACGGACGAGAACTTTGACAAGACTGTTTTGAACTCCGAAGATATGTGGCTAGTTGAATTCTACGCTCCTTGGTGTGGCCACTGCAAGAATCTAGCGCCTGAGTGGGCGACAGCAGCTACCGAACTGAAAGGCAAAGTAAAACTGGGAGCTCTAGATGCTACTGTCAACACGTTGAAAGTGAGATACATACTTCACTAATATTTTTTGTAATGCGATTGACATGGTACACTTTGTCTAATGCACATAATATTACAGGCAAGTAAATATGAAATCAAAGGCTATCCAACAATTAAATTCTTTGCACCGGGCAAAAAGGATGCCGACTCGATACAAGACTATGACGGCGGTCGTACAAGCGGTGATATCGTTAATTGGGCTCTTGAGAAATTAGCTGAGAACATTCCGGCACCGGAAGTCGCTCAAATTACTTCCGAGAAGAAGCTGAGGGCTACATGCGAAGACAAGCCGATCTGTGTGGTTTCCGTTCTGCCACATATTTTGGACTGTCAGTCTGATTGTAGGAACGGATACCTGAAAACTCTTAGTACTCTTGGCGAAAAATATAAGAAGAAGATGTGGGGGTACGTATTAAATTTATGTATATGTTATTCTTTAAAACGATTCAAACTATTCCTTCTTTCATGCTTTACACATGATTCTAAAACCAATTGGTGTTTTTTTTATTTTTCTGTAATTATTTATATTATGCAAAATTTGTATTATAGTAAATTATGACTAGAGAAAAAGGTAAGTTTGTAATTGATTAGGCAGTAGGATATTGATAAAAAGATTTTCCTTAATTTGATTTCTTTAAGGCCCAATTCCACAACTCACGATTAACTCTTAACCAAGGTTCTACTTATTTCTCATCTCTCTCTAATTCTAGAATTAGAGATAAGAAATAAATTAAACCTCGGTTAAGATAGTTAAGTTAGTATGACTTTTACAAAATGTTCTACTTTTAATACAAGTAAAATGTCTGTGTAAATTTCCGCGGTTACATTGTAAGTTATATATATTGATAAAGTGATAAAATATAATTCTCAAACAATTAGTACTTACTAAATACAAATAATTACAGACACTTCTATTCTAGATTTGAGTCCTTTCAAGTTTCGTAATTGGTGAGGTACAACTGTGATTTACGAATTATGTTTTTATCGTTTTACATTATGTAATTTTCGTACTAACAACCTGGAAATTCATATAGACATTTTACTTACACTGGATTTGTTCTTAGAGATGCAAATACTATTCATTTTAATTATTTTATTTTTCGTACAGTTGGGTCTGGGCCGAAGCTGGTTCTCAACCGCACATTGAGGATGCGTTAGAGATTGGAGGTTTCGGCTATCCCGCGTTAGCAGCCGTTAACATCAAGAAGATGAAATATTCCTTGTTAAAAGGTAGTTTCTCATATGATGGAATAAACGAGTTCCTACGAGATCTAAGTTATGGCAGAGGTGGCACTGCGCCCTTGAAGGGTGCTCAATTACCTGCTATTTTCGAAACCACACCTTGGGATGGTAAGGACGCTGAACCTCCGCAGGAAGAGGAAATCGATCTCAGCGATATAAATCTAGATGATAAAGATGAACTATAATTTACTAAAAGCCAATCAGCTGAATTCTTTTTAGAAGAATTTAGCGCACACGACTTATATCGTTTTAAATTAAAAAAGAAAAGAACTACTTAAGGGCGTTAATCGCAAATCAGTATATAAGTCACACTCGCCCAAAAATTTATTTTGTATTGTCAGACTTAACATCTATACATACTTATATACACTTAATAAGAAAATCTACATCGATTAATTTCGTAATAAAATTAATGGTAATTGATTCCATTTTAATCAATGGTTTTTGTATAATAACATCAGTATATATGCGATATCATCACTATGTATCCTAAGAAAGACCAGTTCTCAGGTGCGGTTGTCTAGTTTTATAAAAAAAAACATGCGTTTAATTCTTCCATCTAAAAGCCAATTTTATACAGTTTCTTGTGTTGCTATAGGAGAAGCAAACTAGCTTAGAACTTCGTCATAAAATGTGCGCATGTAATTCATTATTGTTTGCATCGTTCTCCTGTTTTCATAAGAAAAAAGGTAGAATAGTTCAACGTACGCGCTCCGTGTATCCATGATGCATTTATTAGCCTGCTTGCTTTTGTAAAAGTGGGTTGTTTAAGATACACATAGTTTATGTAAAAAAAAGTCCTATTTGTAATAAATATATATCATACATTTACAAGTATATTATTTCTACAGAGGTCATTTTTATGAGTATATTTTATAAGCTTTATACATACTGATAGCACCAGAAAAAAACTTCAGCAAAGCTATTGTTTTTTTTTTTTATAACGAAATCGAATTTGGAGATTACAAAAATCAGTCTGTTGTTAATATCTGTTAATATAAACATAGTGTTAAAGAGAGATTAATTTTTTTCTCTTAGTATGTAATAATTCTGCAGCCTAAATTATCACTGACCATATTCGACCTTAATCCTTTGTCTACTCTTTAATTGGCATAGCTCTGCGTTGTTTCAGCCTGGACTAACAACTTAAAGACATTTTTAAGACGTTTAAATTGCTTGTAAGGAAAATGGAATCGCATAATGATATGCTGTCTTTTATTGCGTGAATGAAACTCTGTGAATACTATGTCCAAAAAAGTTTACTGCGAAACTTTCCATATGTTATAGCATTGTCGCCGAATTTCATACAAAAAAAGGACGGCAACGAAAAGGTTGCTAAAACTTTCTCTACGTTTTCATATTATTATTGCACAATCAACCGAGTTTCACACAAAAAAGATGACATATCACTGTGCGGTCCCAATTTAATTAAAAATAATGTACGTTTTAACACTTTAAATTGCTACTGGACACGTCAGTTAAATTTGAAATAAATCAAGATCAATTATGATTATTAACAACAAAAAAGATTATAATGTCAATCTCATTACTTAATAATTACACAATGTTACATTAATATCATCTAATAAAAACAAATATATCTTCTTGTAGATGTATTTTAGAGTCTTCCATCACAAGTAAAATTCTCTATGTTGTATAATATTATAATCTACTTATATAAACTAACGAGAGTGACTATATTAAAAAAATTTCTAAAATTTTAGTTAGAAATTTTAGACATTTAACATCTCTCCATTTTTAACATATATTACAAGATAATTTTTAATTTATATAGTTGAGTTTTTTTTTCATATAACAGTATATAAATACAATAAAAATAAAATTATTTCTATATTGATTGCTGTATAAATGCTCATAAAATTTATAAAAATTTATTTTATTATTGCATATATAAGATAGTAGATATAAAAACGCTATGATCTCCAATCTTAATATTTTTCAAAGGTTCTTATAGCAGTATTAAGTTGTATAAAACTTAATTGCTATTAAACTTCTACAAAAATATTATTACTCTAAATGAATTATATGTATCTATACTTATAAAATAAACGTCTCTGTGGCCAAAATTCATAATTTATTCTTATTTCAAGACTGTCTTAGTTTCAGACTGTAATATATAATTCTAATTGAACCCATGAGTAAACATTGATATCTTGTAGAAATCTAAAAGATATCTCTTTAAAGATATCTTCAAGACATTTCTAGAAGATATATAAAAGATGTCTAAAAAGATTTTATTAAAGATATCGTTATAAACATGGAAATGGCATTGTAAGAGTCAAACGAAAAGAAAATTAACAACAAATTAATACATATATTCTAAAATTAATGAACATATAAAATTTACATAAATGTAACGATTAAAAACAGATGTTAATTACATTACTAGTTTCGACTACCAAATCTGGTCCTCTTCAGATAAAGATATCGTTTTATAACTTCTAAAAGATATCTATAGACATCTTAAAGATTTTTTAAAAGATGTCTTTAAATGTTTATAATAGATATCTGTTAGATATGTGTCTAGTAGATATCATTTGATATGACAGTTCGATATTTTCAGTTTTGCGACAGACGCGTACACCGCGCCATATTAAATTATATATTGGGCGATCCATTAATATTAACCACACACAATCAATAATATTGTCAATATTCGTCGATACTGACAGTATTACTGACCGTGTACAGAGATCTTGGGATTGATTCTGTATCTTGAAACAAGGTGAAAATTGCAAATGTGAGCGAATTTACTAGAACATTTATAATTTTATTGGTCAATACCTAGTAAATTTGCTCACTTTTGTAATTTTCACTTTGTTTCGAGATACAAAATCGACCCCCTTAACGCGCGTTGTTTTGTGACGACGTCTAGACGTAGGCGTGCGCGGTGTTGCCCCACGTGTTGTCCGTGTTATCTTTGAGACACACAGGAGAAGAGGACGCGTTTTAAAATTATAATCACAGGTAATCACATAATCTTATTATATATCTTATTTTGGTATTCAACACCTCTTAAATTATACCGTTTGCTGCAGCTTTACAACTAACCTTAAATTAACTCGATCGCTGTAGTAATAATTTATACTTAACACATTTAAATTGATAAATATTACACAGATTTTGGCAATATTTGTCAATTTAAGTGTATAAGTATAAACAAAAATATTTTTCCATATTTTGGAATATATATTAGTTGTTTTCCATTTACTCCGATTCTCAGATAATTCTCACTTGTGACGTCATAACTCACATCAGTTGAATGCACGTTCCTTTTGCATTCTGAGAAGTGAGATTCAACTGAGTTTTTACCTGCAAACTGCACAAGATTGAGACCGTGTGCTTTATTGAGTTTCATAGACTCACTTTAAAAGTGAGGTTATAAACCTGTGTTGTTATTTGTTAATTTTACCAAAGTAAGCAAGTAGTGACGTCATTAATCTGAGTATTTCATACTCAGCTCACTTTAGACTCTGTGCTCCCCGCTTTAGTTTCACTTGTGTGTAAATGGAAAGCAACTTTTGTTTTGAATGACCTTGACAATATATGTCAAGAGCATCGGACCTGTTTCTGTTAATATCTTTTCACTTTACAAAATTAAAACTTATTTGAATGTATAAGTAATTTAGAAATTATGTTATTTAGGACGTCGTCCTTATCAAAGAAGACTCCTTAGGTTTCAGTATCATAGGAGGAACCAATCATTCGTGTACACCGTTTGGTCAATACAGCCCTACGCATCCGCAAGCTAATCCAGTCAACAATTGGACTTGTGAAGAAAGTAGTTCATGGTGACGATTCAGTTCGCATCAGTTCGCATTGGTCGCAATTGGTCGCGTCAAGGCCGTCAAGATATACGAGTGTCGCTGTCGAGACATACTTTCGACAAACAACGAGAAGTCTTGAGAGAGACCACTGTCTTCAAGGTGAATGGATTTTGCTATTGAAACCTGAAATTAACGACACTGAAACCTAAAGGCCTAAAGAAGTAAAAGTCTTGAGAGATCGCCTGAGATCGTTTAAGTGAGGCGGATTTGTTTCGTCTCTCCTCGAGTGTTGCATCATCATTTCTGAAAAGCTTTGCTGGCTTCGACTGTGTTTAATAAGTTGGACAAGTTTACCTCGTCAACGAAGAGCTGGGACATTTATATTAGAAGAAGAAGAAGAAGAAGAAGTGCCAAGACACATAACGGACAGATTATGAGTAACGAGTGCAAGAAAAAAGTTTATGAGCAAAAACAAAACGTAATAATGTTAACACAGAAGGACTTGAGACCATATCGGTCCTTGAAAGAAATTAACGAGGAAGAAAAACGACTGACACAAATAATACAGATTAAGAGGGAGAAGCGACAAAAGATGTTGCAGAAAATAGAAAAGATAAAGAAGATGAAGAAAATCCTGGAAATTATGGGATCCAGCGATGAAGAATCCGATTCTCAATCGGATGAGGAAACCGATGAGATTATAAGATTATACGAGCGTGAGAACCTTGGTTCTAATGAAGAAGAGATAATCAAGAAAATCATGCGGGAAATAAAAATTCCTGTACCAAATGAGAAAAGTGAAATCAAAGTAAACATAGATTGCCAAATATCTGTGCCGACGAACAAGTATCATCTGCTTAATGAAGACTTTAATGTGAAATTAATATTCAAAAATAGAAAATGCGAAGTGACGGGTGAAAAGATATGTCTTGAAACAACATCATCGGTAAGTGAGACCGACACATTTGGTAAAACTAAATCTGACCTCCAAATAATTGATAACGGGAAAATAATACAAAAGGTATCGACAGTTGTGTTGGAGAAATTGGATCCCACAGAAGCAAAACAGTCACATGGAAGATCACGAGTTTCCGAAAAGTTAAAGAAAAAGAGGAACTGGTCATATTTATTACCAAAATCGAGAAAAAGATCAGATCAACCAAGAACACCTCAAGGGAGATTTGCACGATATAGGAACCAATAAATTTATATTAAGAGTTACATTATTCCATACAATCTATGGAATAGCATCGAGGCTCTTCAGTAAGTCATGTACGTGTAAGTCTCCGAATTATCGGCGCAGGACATCGGTTATCAGTGATGTTGATGGCTTCTTATCACAAATTCCAGTGATATCGCTGAAGTCCTGTGTAATCGGCATCGCAACAAGTGTCTCCTCGAGATCCGTTCTACAAGAGAAACATCATCATTTTCCTTTGCCTCTACGCAGCCTTTTCGCATAGCTTAAGTAGTGTTTAAAAACATAAATTTAGATATGCGTTCCTTTCTGGACCATACCTCTTGTTTGTATTATATACTCTTCTCCTTGCAGATGTTCTTTTGCTAGTTGCTGGAGCAAACTGCATGTACATATTCAATTCAGCTGTCATTGATTTTACGCCAAATAATTTTGATAATTTAGTGTTAAATCTCGACCATATCTGGATTGTAAAATTCTATGCACCATGATGTGAACACTCAACAATTGACACCAGAGTATGACAAAGCAACTACTGCATTAAAGGTGACTTATATATTTAATTTTTCTACAAAAGTATACACATAAAGACATACATTTGAACATTATACATATATGTATCTTTAAATAATATTAAGTAAAAAAATCAATCAAGAAATATAATAAAGAAAGCGATATCTAATCAAAACAGGTCTTAGTATTTTTACTATCTTAATATTTGTGTCAATTTTAGTTTTATTTATATTTAAAATAATAAAATTTACACAGAAAATAATAATAAACACCAAGATCTCTTTTTGACTTACTAGTTATGGCTTTTATGCTCATTGCTCGATCTCTGTTAATATTGTTAAGAATTAACTGTGAATTGTGAAACTAGGCCTAAAAGATTATCATTAAGGTTTTTCGTATCGCACGAATTACATCTAATAATGATTTTTACAAAATGTTCTACTTTTAGTACAAGTAAATTTCCGCGGTTACATCGTAAGTTATAGATATATATTGATAAAGCGATAAAATATAATTCTCATACAATTAGTACTTACTAAATAAAGATAATTACAGACATTTCTATTCCAGATTTGAGTCCTTTCAAATTTCGTAATTGATGAGGTACAACTGTGATTTATGAATTATGTTTTTATCGTTTTACATTATGTAATTTTCGTACTAACAATCTGGAAATTCATATAGACATTTTACTTACACTGGATTTGTTTTTAGAGATGCAAATACTATTCATTTAATTCATTTTAATGATTCTGCTTTTCGTACAGATGGGTCTGGGCCGGAAGCTGGTGCTCAACCGCACATTAAGGACGTTCTCCGACTGCAGTTGTGCTCAACCTAAAGTTTACTCGCGTCCACGTAATCGCCCCTACACACAGAAAGTAACAGTTGACTACCACTCCGCTCTTTCACTTGTTTCGTTGTTTCCCTCTCGCTTTCGCTATTGCCGCCAGAAAACATAGCGGAGCTGCTTACTTTGCTAAATGGTTCCTTAAAAATGAATACCGGAAGACATATTCAAGAAAATTTCATATTATTCCTTGTAATATCAAGTTTTATGTCTCTTTGTTTCAAAAAATTCTAAAGAAAACTTTTTTTACAGTGAATAAAAAACCACTTTCGAATAAGCTTTAGATAGGGGGTGTTTACGTGAAGTAATCGGATCCCTAAATCGGATTGAACAGTGGTATTCAATCTGAAGACTCTAAATGTTCCTAGACCAATCTGGATTATAATCCGTGCTGTCTATGAAACTCGGATTTCGGACTATTATCGTCGCGCGTGTTTTTCCTGAAAAGTTAAGGTTAAGTTAATATTTCCTGTGAGCTCACTGAATATTTCCGAAATTTCAAAATATTTTTGTGGCATTTATTACGACTCTTCTTTACGTCCTGCTGTTGTAGATTTTGTAAGTCTATCCGGTTATGTTTATATACGTTTATTTACAAATATATGTCATTTTACAAATATGTTATATATATATAAATAAAAAATATAAATATAAATATTATAAAAATTATATAAATATTGTAAACATTAAAATTATAAAAAAATTATATACAAAATATATTAACCCTCTCCGAGTAAACTTACCAAATCCACAGTAACAGCACATAGAACACGTAGAAGGAGAAATATTTTATTAATATATATTAACTTAACCTTTTATAGTTAGGAGAAACCATAAACTTATAAGATAGACGGAGCATTTAGTGACCCTCTAATAAGAGTCTGGACACGTGAAGTTCGCCATTATTCGTCGAAATTGTGCGAGAGAGAAAAAATCATGCTATCTCATTCTAGTGGCGCTGTAAGTTGTAGCTGATTGTAGCTCTACAAACTTCATAGTTTCTGTTTCTGTTTCGTCTCGCCTCATGCATCGTAT